AGGCCTTTTTTGGCGTAGTGAGAATACGATATATTTGAGTATGATGAACAAATAAACAAATCGATAAAGATCTCTATCATAAAGAGTCTATAGGCTTGAACAAATGAAATGTCCTAATTCTAAATTTACTAAGAATAAGACTTGATATTGTACTTCTGGTAAATTTAATTATAAACATCCGATGTTATCACATACCTTGACCTGAACTCCTCCTCCTGTTGCTCGTCATCTCACTCATTCATTTCGTGGTTTTCATTTATATGTCATTATCTCAGAATATAACAATGATAATTGTAAATTTCTTCAAAACTGCCATACCCAAAAAGGTAGGAGACAGCAAAGAAAAAACAATTAGTTTTCTCATCAATGGAGATAAAAAGGCTTCAACATAAAGACAACCACTCTGCTTTATTTCATCTGAGTTCTCTGGGCATTGTGTGGAATGCACACTCCCTTCAGTAATTTAATGAACAATCTTCCCACTTTGTGTGGAGAACACACTCCTCCAATTATATATCACATCATTGAGTGCTCTTCCTAAACAGCAATCCATTCTCAGGCTGCCACTTTTATGTATCCCACCTATAGAAATAAATGCAGCTTCGTTCGTGATTAAAATTGTCGGTTATTTTATCAAATCTTATTTAGAGATTGTTTGACAAAGCTTTTAATAAAAAAAAAATTAGCTGATTTTGGTAGAATTTGATGGAACGTGAAACTAAAAACTTCATAAAGTTTTAGGTCCTACAAAATACGTAATTAAAAGTTCATAGAATGCATTTACAGATGGTGTCTCCACATATATATTGTGTTTTGTTGCATGTTTCCATTTCAGTTCTTGCTACATGTACATCAAGTTTGACATTGTTTTGAAATAACAATTTTTTTACATTAATTTTAATAATATTTTAAACAATTCATGGTACAGATTTGACACCTTGAAATGTCAAACTTATCGTACAAAGAGTGTAAAAGTAGTTCAATTATTTCCCCCTCTATTTCGTGCAATCTAGGTTCAAAGCAAGAGAAGACTCCAGTAAGAGAACATTTGGCATATCCATTGCCTCAAAACATGAAAGATAACAGGCCAGAGAAAGTATGTAATGCTCATAGTGACCAAATAAAATGCCCAGTCGTGTATATCATATGTTTATGCTCGTTAATCATGTCCGGTCGTGTTAGTCCACCTACAAAATATTAAAAGAGAAGTGCTTCAGATCACATTGCAACTTTTTCTTTTCTTTATTTCCATTATTTAATCCTCCATAAATCCCCATTAACACTTACTATTTTTATAGTACCTGTTAAGTATATATATAACCCTTCACTCATTCATGCAGCATTGTGTCTTCAACAATCAACTTCGCATTGGCGATAACATCCTAGCTAGCTGCTATAATATTTTTCATGGCTGCCCAAAACCCAAACCATGTCCTAATTGTGATCCCTGAACACGATGCACGACAAAATCAATGCAATTTCTCCAACGATAAAGACTTGGACTACTCACAAAGGGCACAATGGCTTCGTGCCGCTCTGCTAGGAGCCAACGATGGATTGGTCTCCATTGCATCATTAATGATGGGAGTTGGAGCAGTCAATGAAGATACCAAAGTGATGATTCTTACCGGATTTGCAGGACTGTTTGCCGGTGCTTGCAGCATGGCGATTGGAGAGTTCGTCTCGGTGTACTCCCAACTAGACATAGAAATAGCCCAAATGAAGAGAGGAAACAGAATTACAAACATTGGACAGAATGAAGAAGAAATACAAAAGAAGAAACTCCCCAACCCTTTTCAGGCAGCCTTGGCATCGGCCCTGGCCTTTGCTTTAGGTGCCGTAGTACCATTACTTGCAGCTGCTTTTATAGAAAGCTATAAGGTGAGGCTAGGAGTGGTGGTGGCAGCAGTCACCTTAGCATTGATTGCATTTGCAGGAGTAGGGGCGGTGCTGGGTGGGACATCGTTGGCCAGGTCTTGTCCTAGGGTGGTGGTGGGTGGATGGATGGCTATGGGTATTACATTTGGGCTTACTATGTTAATTGGCTCCAGTGGTCTGGCAATATAATTGCTAAGTTTTCCTTCGGTTTCATGCTTCCAATATTTGTTGAATAAAAAAGGTAGGCTGAGGAAAAAAGATGCTGTTAACACAACTTAGATTATGTATTCTATCAGTATCCTATGCTTGGGTTGTATTTCCTACAAGGCTTTAAACTGTATTGTGCTGAATTAGAAAGTTCATGCCAATGGTAATAACTTACTGCAAATGTTCCAAAAAATGAACTTCCTAGAAATAATGGATTATTTCCTTTTCTATATATTCCATCTTACTTTACTTTCTAAAATCAACTCTCTTATGCATACTCGTGGATTCTGAACATTTCAAACCAGTATCAACTGCTGCAACCACCAGAGAGAACGATAATGATATAACAAAAGGCGAAAACATTACAATGTAACAAGAATAAGGTTAAAAAAAGGAAAGAACATGCTACTAGGAAAACCATGACGAATAATTTGATTACCACAATACTAAAACTTCCACAAAAGATACGAAAAACAACTAGGAAAATCCACGAAGAATAATTTGATTAACCACAATACCAGCAACATGGGACAAGAATTTCATAGCCCAGAGAAGCTCGAGTCTATGAATATAAAATGGAACTGGCAATACAACTTCCAAAAAAGATACGAAAAACAACTGAAAGTTGCAACATCCTACAGGGGCATACCATAGCACCCCAGTACTCTTCATGCGGACGATAGTTTGGATTCAATCAATCCTAGTATGCTCAGAAGCTCTTAGCCAGATCGTCTATCATGATAAGAGGTCGAGAGAGACTCCCCACACAAAGATATTCTTGAAAAGATCTACACATTGCTAAAAAGTCCAAGAGAATATCTCCCACTTTGTGAATATAACATAGATTCACGTTCCATTCTATAAATTCATATCGTGATAACATGTGCCATTTCGAAATACTACCCTCCAGCAAGTGGTTTCGGATTGCCTTGATGTAAAATATTATTGGTAATGTGAGGTGTTGGTTAAACATGGAATATCAGATATTTATAAAGATATATATTAAAATCAACTTATAATAAATGGATTGTAGATTTAGCTAAATCATTTTTCTGAAAAATCCTAGCTTTTTATGCTTTTGTTGGGTTTTCAATATTGTTTCTATCCTGTGTTGTTGTTCGTTCGTAACATATGCTGTATAGGAGTGCTATAAAAATCCCACATTAAGAATTCATATTTCCTAGATAGAAGATGAACTGTCCTTCCAAGTTTACTAAAAACAAGACCTGAGTCGTTTATTGCACATCATCTCCTAGATGTAACCAAAACCAACAGTGATTGTCACATACCTTGAGCTGAACTCCTCCGATAATTTATGTTGTCATGTCATTATTTTGGGATATAACAAAGATTGCGTATTTCTTCAAAATTCTCATGGCCAAAATGGTAGGAGAGCGCCAAGAAAAATAGTTATATTATCGAGTGGAGTTGAAAAGCTTCAACAAAAAGCAAACTACTGTCCGCACTATTTCATTATAGTACAGAGGCGTGTGGGCATTGTGTGGAATGCACACTCCCTCTAGCAATTTAAAGGAAAATCTTCCCACTTTTGTGTGGAGAACACACTCCCCCCACTTTTGCTATCCTAAACAGCAATCCATTTTCAGGAGGCTACTTTGACAAATCCCACCTATGGAAATAAAGAGGGATTCATGATGATTCACGATAAAAATTGTGATTCTCTCTAATCTTGGTTAGTGGAATGTACCCAAAACCTCATAGCTGTTTTAAAAGATAAAAATTGTGTGTACTGAAAGGAGGTAGGTAGTTATGGAAAAGACTTCAAACTTATTTTCTCAATTCTCACGTATTAATGGAAATTCCATTCAGAAATTTACTTCACAAGGTTAAAAGAATACTCAGCTTCCATTTTCGTGCAACTTAGTATCAAAGCAACAGAGTACTCCAGCATTATTGCTGCTCTGGTGTCAAATGCTGGTCAACTAATCATGTTAGGTCCCGTTTGACTAGGCTTTTGAAAAGTCAAAAACTGTTTTTGAGACTAAAAAGCTACTTTAGTATATACTTGGATAATTTTCTAAAAGTGTTTTGTTTAACTAAAGGCCTTTTGATAGCTTTCTCGTAAAACTCTTTTACAAGAAACAGAAACAGAAACAAAAGCAAAAGCCCTATCAAATAAATCCTTGGTCCACCGATGCTTGTGCTCCTCACGTTGCACTATTTTATTTCCTTTGACTGCCCCGACATAATCCTGCACATATTCCCACTAAGCTCCCATTTGGTTTACATTTTGAAAGTAAGAATGCATTTTTACTGTTGATGTGATGGAGAATATGTGGTTAAAAAAAAGGAAAAGTTATTGATGTGATGGAAAATATTATTTCATTAAAGAATGTATGGTTGACAATGAATAGAAGAATGAGAATGAAAAAAATAATGTGTACCAAACAGGGCCTTAACCTTATTATTATGTAGTAAGTTGATCCTTAATAATTTCCGATTCCCAGTAAACAATTTGCTTGAAATGCGGATAAACAAAGCTGTTAGTGTTAGGATAGACAGGGATGAAGGTAAGTAATGGTTCAACTACAATGAAAAATAATAGTATTTATGTTATAATGTGCTCTGCGGTGATTACTTGAAATATTCAGTTAGTACAACCAGTGATGGATTTAGGATTGAAAGTTAGCTAGGGCGGACGTTGAACGTCGATAGTCAACGGTCGTAATAGTGGCACCGTTTATTAATAGTTAATTAAATAATATTAAAATCATTCAATCTATTTGTAAATACACTAAAACGTAAAAATCATATACATATGAAAATATAATTCTATACAATCCAAAATAATAAAAACATACATGATACAATCTCACTCAGTAATTGTAAACTTAGACAACTGCATTTTACGTCGTCTCATATTTTGAAAACATTGCATGACTACCGCATTCTCAATTTTTCCAAAAATCTCTTTCTCCATGTAAACTACCAAATTGTCATTCAATTAGTCATATTTTATTTTGTTGTGTAAGTCACTCTTGATTAGATTCATAGTAGAGAATACCCTTTTAACTCTTACAGTGGCCACAAGTAATATTAAAACCAAGGTGATAAGCTTATAAACCAATGAAAAATAACAATAACTTCTTGTTTCAACGAACTTCTAAATTACAAAAGATATGCTATTGAGGTTAAAGAAAGCTTCATCCCATCTCAAAAGCATAAAAAAATTGTCAAGTTGAGGTCTGAGTAATGAGAGTTCTTCACTGTTAAAGTCCAAATGATAGAACTAAGCAAGACGTAGCAATTTAGCCATATCAAAAACTGCAAATGAATCTCTTGAACTTAAACATGAAATGCAAGTAATGAGCTTAGTAGTCGTCTCTGGAAAACGAACTCTTGCAAGATTAAGTCTATCACATGTCAATATAAATCAACATATAAGCCATGCTAATAAGTCACCTGTTGAGCTACACGCCTAGGTCGGCCTCTCAATACCACAATATCCTCCATATTGGGCACTACATTATATCTACCAACACAAAACTCAATCATCCTATTCAATAAATTATCCCAATCATTGTCGTTCATGTTTTGCAATGCATACTTACACAAATTCAATAATCCCATAGCATTTTGAATATCGTTATCCTTTTTCTTAAGGGTTGTGAAAGATCATCTATAATTGTAACAATTTCAAATATAAAGTAGAGACTGAACACAAACTTAAAATCTCGTATAGAGGCTCAACTGTCTAATGGCTATTGATCTCTGATCTAAATTTATGTTATCATCTTCTGATATATCCTAAAGAACATATATGGTAATATTAAATATATTAATAACACGAGTAATTGTCTGTAGATGTGAGCCCCATCTAGTATCACTTGGGCGTTCCAATCTCATTTCTTCAAACTTACCATTGCCACCACAACGATCCCCAATATTAAGCTTTTCCAAAGCATCATAATGATAACTTGCTCGAAGAGCATCTACATGCTTACATGATGTACCAACCAAATTTAAAATGATAGAAAACATGTGAAATAAATCACCAAGTATATCATTCCTACGTGCCACATAAACAATTGCCAACTAAAGTTGGGGAACAAAGCAATGAACATACATATCATATGGGTTCTTTTTTAAAATTAAAGTTTTCAACCCATTGAGCTTACCTGACATATTGGTTGCTCCATCATAACCTTGACCTCTTAGGCTAGATATACTTAGCCCATATATAGAAAATATTACATCAATGGCATCCTTTAGTGATTGGGCACAAGTATTAATAACATGAGAAATGCCCAAAAAGGCTCCTTCATTTGCCCACTTTTGCCCACAAATATATAAAAAAAAATTGTCATTTGTTCCTTATAGAATTATCACAAGCTTCATCAACCAAAGTTGAAAATAAAGAATCACCCATCTCATTCATAATAGCCCTTGTTATCTCTATGGCACAATAGTTAACCAAATCCTTTTAGACGTTTGGTGAAGTCATTTGGTCATTTCAGGGGGCATTAGTAAATTCTACTTAACTTCCTCACAATGAACTACATACCAGTCTAGTAAATCAATTAGATTTCCTTTATTAAGGGACTCTTTCGATTCATCATGACCATGAAAATGCAATCATTGCATCAAGAGAAATCTAGTTCAATCTAGCACTATAGTCAACCTCGTCTTATAACCTTTTTGTTGGCTACTAAGCACAACAGTTAACCAAATCCTTTTAGATGTTTGATGAAGTCATTTGGTCATTTCAGAGGGCATTAGTAAATACTACTTAACTTCCTCACAATGAGCTGTACACCAGTCTAGTAAATCAATTAGATTTCCTCCATTAAGGGACTCTTTCGATTCATCATGACCACTGAAAGACAATCTTTGCATCAAGAGAAATCTAGTACAATCTAGCACCGCAGTCAACCTCGTCTATAACCTTTTGTTGGCTACTACTTTGGCTAGAAATAACATCGAAGATGCTTTGTTTTTGATTCATCAAGTTGGTAATCTTA